CCATCTATGAGATAAAGAAAAAACAGAAAATGCCCAACTAGATGCCACACTTGTCTATATATTTGTTCAGGTGTGGGCCTGATGTTATAGCTTTTTTTGCTATGTTAGCTTAGAATTTTACCTTGTCTCCAGTGTAAGCTGAAAAGAAAATGCTCTCCAACAGCTGTTTTACTAAAAAAAGAGAACCACAAAGGGCAGATATTAGCAAATGCCTGAACCTTTTATCAAGCACTGAAATACCTCTGATGTTCTTGAGATTCTTTTGCTGTCCTCTGCCTTACTGCCTCTAATGGGTACAAGTCATCATGTGATGTCTGAACTTTCTTCACTGGTTAAGAGTATAAGTCAGGGCAAAACAGGCATGATAGAAATCCTCCACAGTTACACCACCATAGAATTTTTGCATGCCTTTGCGTCACTAGCACAGCTTCTGAGTCTTCTCTCTACATATACAAAATGGGAATAATAATTCTGTCTCAGCAGTCTAACAGGGAAAGCTGATAACTCCCTTCAAGACAAGGAAGTTCTGAGATATGGAAGGTGTACTGATAGACAAATCAATACATTCAAAAGATATAAAAAGATAATATCTTACATGGTCAGTTATAAATCTAAAAAGATTAAGTGATACATTCAGTGTGTTTCCAAAGGGCCTTTATTTTGCTACACTGGAGTAAAGTAATAATTAATCTTTAATTGCTGAAGCTACTTGCACTGTAAAGCTCTATCTTCATTAGGATAATGGTAGAAAAAGACCCAGCAGCTTTATTCTCCTTTAAATCTTCCTGTCATGGTGCAACTAGAATAGCACCAAAAATTAAAAAGAGACAAGGGAGGAATATAGATGTAAAGAGCAGAAGAAGCCATTTTTATTGTCAATGAGAATTAGCCAGCCAATCTTTCTAACCACAAAGCAATTTAACTTGGCCTTTTACTGGATCCATTTTCTCTGATTAATTTTTATGATGTCAGACATCTCCTCCCTTGGGGCTGGAAGTTTGCAGGACATTATGCAAGTCTTTAACTCAAAGTCCTGTCTCTGGCTCTCCGATGATCCTTCAGGTGCCAGCAGCTTGGAGCCCTGACATTTCTCAAATGTGCAGGTGATAATCTGACAAGCATGGTTCCTCTCTCTGTGAAATGTGCCACAGCATTAAAGTGAGTTACTGCTCAGCACTTAACAGCTGTTGGCTTCTCCTGACAGTGTTAATACAACATTAGACATAGAGACATTTCAAGAGTGAGAGATATTTTTGAGCAATTGCAGGTCTGCAAGGTTTCTCTCAAAGGTGTTTATTTAACTGGAGCTCACAGCTGCAAGTCTTAAAAAGGATGTATCCATATACAAGCAACAGCAGTAGCTTGAGTCATTTGCACACAAAATGATTCCACTTGACGTGAAAAGGTTTGCATTTTCTGACTCCCCTTACAGGAAGTCTAATCTGCTGCCACCAACACAAACAAGCTTTGTCTGTTTGAAAAGTTCATTGCCTTGTTACTATGACCAACCACAACACCGAGACAGCTGTATCATTCCTCTGTGTTCCAATGCTTTTCCTTAAAATCACATCAAGTACTATTTACAAAAAAAGACCGCTTAAAAAAAATAAAGCCTAAAATAACTTTAAAAAGTCAAGGATTTTTTTTTTCTACATCTACCTCCATCTGCTACTTCTAAGTCTAATGCTCAGGAATAAATTAACCAGTCCAGAACACATGTATTCATAAACTGCCATGTAAGTGATGTAGTTGCGAAATTATTCATCCTAGTTTATTCTTTTTTTTTTTTTTTTTTTTTTTTTTTTTTGCTCCATTTTTGCAGTCTGTTCCTTCAATGTCTATGTTTTTGTATGTATTAATTTTATCCAATTCAACTTTCCTGGCTGAATGCCTGAGAACAACCATCTACTAAGTCAAGGTTGCGTACCTTCTTACCCTGACAGCATCTTCTCTATCTACTTACAAGTCAGGTCAAGATATAAAAGTGAGAGGTTGAATTTGATGACAATGGGGATTTCCATCTGATGCTCAAAGTTGATTATATTTCTGGTTTTATTTCAAGACGAGCAGAAGAAGAACAGTATATTTTGGCAAACAGGCATAGCCCTGCAAAACATGGCACATTGTAATAGACTATTTCATCTGAACTGGGAGGAAAATATGAGAATAATAATTTGTAATGTTTGTACTTAAGATTGTCTGTGATGGTGACCCCTAGATAGAAGGGCTCTTTGTTGTTTAGAATTGAAGCTACTTGTTACCCTGCTAAAAAAATACATGTGCAAGGACCAACAGCCAGATGCACTTATACATGACATGTAATTCCCACTGATGTCAAGAACAGGAACAGTCAATTATGAGCTGAGATCCTGGCAACCAACACAAAAATCACGTTCTACAGGAATGTACACCAACTCAGAGATTTTGTCATGGCATTAAATTTCCTTTCAAGTGTAACTTTTGACTTTGGGAAGGAAAACCTAAGCAAGCAGAACAACATTTCCCTCCAGTAAGGGGTTTTATATATTTTGACTCGATCTATGTGTCATGTCTTCAGAAGTAATCCCAAAACCCGTCTTACAAACTCTAGACATATTGATAAAATAAACCACTTAAGGAACTTGTTTATATGCATATAAGCTAGCCATCCAAAAATCTCATCATACTTGACTGCTTTCTGAATATAACATCATTCCTGCAGATAGTAATCACATTGCATCGTGATGCTTGTTTTAAAAAGTGGTTTTTTCTAAGGCTCTGGGCACGGTGGAGACTCAAACACATTTGGTCAGGGGAATAAAATGTTACCTCTAAGTTTATTTTATCCAAATTAATATAATTGCTGGGATCATTCACAGCCTTATTCTCAATATTCCATATCTAATCAAGAGAAAAACTTCTACAGTTTACATTTGTGACATATTAGTTACTAATTAAAAAGCAGATGTTAATGCTCATTTTCATACAAAAATCTTCTGGTTTTTGTCCTCAATAAACCTCCATATTTGGGGTTTTTGGTTTTTGGTTGGTCAGGGCTTGTGTTTTGTTTGTTTGTGGGTTTTTATTGTTTTTGTTGTTGTGCATGGGGTTTTTTAAGTAAGTCTCTTGTACCCAGAGCACTAGATTCATATTTAGGCTTAAGGCCCATCCACCTCAGTGGGTCTCAATGGGATTTTTGCCTCAGGTATGACTAGAAGATGCAGACCTGATGTTCATGTGTTTTGACAAAAACATCTTCACACATTTTGAGTTCTTCAGTGCTGACAGTATTGATATTTTTTTCCTGCATCCAACCAACTCAGTGCATTGAATATTTAATAATACAGGTGATATGAGGACTCGTCTGACTCACATAAATAACACAATAATTTAAACACAATCTTCCTTCTCTACAGTGTATGCAATGCTAAATTAATATAGTCTCTCTCAAAAGAACCAATAAACATTGCCAATAATATAAAAGAAAGTAGAATAAACTGGACATTTGGGAAAAAAGAACCAATTGTTCAATTTTAGCATATTTTGCTGCCACCTTTTGGAATTTAATAAAATGTGCATCTCAGTAGTTTGTAACAGGGATATATAATTTAGCCCTCAACAGCAAACAATCACTAACTTAGAGAAAGAATATATGCATTTCTTCTTTCTTCCTTTTAAAAACTATGTTGAGTTTCACGTTTCACCTTCACAGAGAGATGGAATAGCACAGATTCAAATTTAATGTTTTCATATGTGAAGAACATATAGCAAAAAAAAATGTGTGCATCAAGCATAACTCTCAACAAATGCCATGATTAGTCAGCAGATCAAGCATTATTTAGCCATAAATAAATATAGGTAAACAAAGAAAGCAGCTGCTTACAGATGATACCTAAATATCAATTAATCACTGGCAAATAATTGTTAGTTTAAATCCAAGGTTATTTGTTAGAACTCAGGGCCTCTTTCCCCCAGGTGCATTGTGGCCTTTGCATAACTGCATTGCTTTTAAAATATAATTCTATATAAATAAACAAGAGGAAAACAAGTCCTAAGGCTCTGGGCTCTGTCCCACATATCCTCTCCCTGTTACTGTCAGAGAGATTTTCTTCTGTACAACTTACAAAAATGCAATGCATTTTGGGGACCGTTAATACAAATAAATGTAACACCAGTGTAGAGAGCATGTCAGAAGTTCTTTGTTATCACTAAGACAACTGGAGCACTAGTCTTATTTTAGAAAGGTGAGATCAGAAGCATTTTGAACAGGAGGAAGAACAGAAATGTCTGTACCTGTAAATGGTCCTGGAGTGGACAGCTTTCCTTTGATGCATGGGATTGGTGTTCCCAGAGCACCCCTGGATTCAGGCACCTTCATCGTGGCCCACACAGGGGACAGATGAATGACCTCCAGGACACCAGATGACCTCCAGGACACCAGATGACCTCTAGGACACCTCTAGGACACTTCTAGGTGCCTCTGCAGGAACGTGTGCTGCTTGGCAAGGTGTCTGGTCACTGGGAGGCTGGTGCTTGCCAGGTGGATCGCACAACCACTCTTTGGGGAAATAAAAATTGGAGTATTAGGCTGTGTAAGCACCAGGTGATTTATTTCTATGCTACTGTAATTTATCCATGCCTAAAATCTGATTTAAACTAACAGGTGCTATGAGATCTGTATTGTAGAAAGCAGTAAAATGAGTATGTGTCTTTCGGAAAGTGCTCACATCCCAAGTAGGAAGGTTTTCGACAACTACCTGATTGCAGGAGTGGGGTTGACGAACGTGTGTCAGCCCTGTACGAGTGTCATGGATGTATGGATGCGCTCCTTGTGGGAACGGGGTCATTTGCAGGACTAGGGACATCGATAATTAATCCTAGCAGAGTAAGGCATCGGTAATAAATCCTGGCAGCGCGGCTTAGGCCCGGCTGAGGAAGTGGCGCTGCCGCGACGCGAGGCGATTCCCGACTCGCGAAGGCGATCGCCGGCGCGGCCGTTGCCGGGAGACCGGCCGGGACCGGCCGGGTTCGGCCCGCGGCTCTTGCCCGGAGCTCCTTCCCAGGGCTCTCCGCCGGGGATTTTTCCCGAGGCTCTCTGCCAGGGCTCTCGGAGGACTCGGCGGTGGCCGCGGTCGCTGCGAGGCGGCAGCGAGACACCTCCGCCATGGCGGGCGGAGGCACCGCCGACTGCGGGCTGCAGGTGAGCGGCGGCGGCCGGGGCAGGGCAGGAGCAGGGGCAGGGGAAAGGCGACGCTGGGGAACGGGCCTGCGAGCAGGTTTCTACCATTGGGAATACGTTAATTCGCAGTTACAGGCAGCACATGCACAAAAATCGGCGTTGCTCAGGAAATGGAAGCGGGCAAGCAGGCTGCCCGCGGTGAGGACAGCGGGAGCTGTGCCCCGTGCCAGGCTGGGAGCAGCCCGGCTGCCCCGGCCCTGACAGCCGGGCTGGAGGAGCAGCCCCGCCACCAGCAGGAGCCTCGGGAGGCCCCTGACGAGCCAGTGCTCCTCGTATTTTGTGGGTCAGGGTCCGCAGTCCGGAGATACTGGTGCATTTCTGTGTTTACAAACACATCTGATGTGTTTACAGTCTGTAATTAAGGCCAGAGCCCCTCAGAATCATGTAAATGTATTGTGTCCGTGATGTCCTGCAGCAGAGAGTTCAAAATATGTGAAGTCCTTCCATTGGTTTGGACCTGCCACCTGCTTCAGGCTCCTGTCGTGTGGCACCTGCTGTCATAGCCTCCTCTTGTGCTCTTCCGGATCAAAACATACAAAAGAGGAGGAGTGTCACATGATGATGCTTCATAAGTGCCCAAAAATGGAAAAGGGATTTGCAAGATACGTTTCTTATGAAGAGGAAATATAAATAAATACATGGAGGTTTGGAGACTTTGTTTTTGATGCAGATATGTTAGGGGAATTGAGATAGAATGGATACACTATGCTTCAGCATAATTGTCAATTAAATGGGCTTATCTCTGTTGTTCAGTTTTACTTACATATATGTGGGAGGGGAGAATTAGTGCTGAACTTGAACAAGTGAATCCTCCCTTCTTTGTAAAAATTATTTGTGATGCCATTTCAGGATGAGCTACAGGAAGCAATTTCTGATTATGCAACAAGCAAGGAAAAAGATGAATATCCAGATGACTTTGAAAGTGATGAAGATGGCATGTTCAACGGTAAAACAAAATTAAATATTTTTCCTTGTGTTCTTCCTTTCGTAACTCATTACTAGATCCTAGACAATCTTTATATGTCAGTATGATTTAGTGTTCCAAGATTTCATTTTTTAGCAACTTCTAAAGTATTGTCCTCCTCTGCCAGGTTAGCAGCAGAATTCCCAATGAAATCAGTGGAGGTGCCAGCATGCTATACCACAGAGTCTATACTGGTCCCTACCATTGTGGTCCCCAGTTCTCCTCCGTAGCCATCTTGTTTACTTGGCACCTGGATGAGACAGTAGTGCACAGTACTGTAAATGAAAGTGGGCTTGGGTAGAGAGAAAGGCAGGGTTTTTTTCTTAGTGGTTTCCCAGTCTGAACAGTCAGTGAATAAGGGCTGCAGGACAGACTTCCCTGGAAGACTACATAAACCAGAAATAAGTTTGATCTGACTGCTTTCTTGGAGCAGGATGCATTTGATGTTTGCTAATGTTTATGCTTAGTCTAACAAGGGTGGCCAAATGACTCCTCTTCCTGCTGGTATGGCACTAAATGTTAAGGGAAGTAGGAATATTGAATACAATAATGTATTTTTAAAAGGACTTTCTCTGTGGCCTGTTTTTCATTCTCACCTGAAACATCTTTTAACAGTTTGTAGGATGCTTTGATTTCCCTTTGTAGACAAGCATTAGGAGAAAAAGCTCTCTAGCAATAAATGCATTACTCTACTATCATGACATTGTTTTGTCACCTTGCTCAAGCATTTGAGCTCCAAAATTAGGTCAATTAGCAATAACAGGCTAGAAGAAGATAAATATTTTTGGTAAACATTTTGGTGAACCTTGTCATTGTAGAAGATACTTCCTTTGAGTATCTTCTGGAAGACTTTAAATGGGGCAGAAGTGAAGAGAAAGGAAGGGAAGATGTGTTCTAATACCAAACGTGCTCAGCTTTGTTGTTGATGACTTGCTTCCACTTTCTATAGCTTTGAGACTTTTTTTCGGAAGGACTTTAAATTGCATGGCAGAAAATAATTAATGAGTGAATATTTTTCTTTGGATTGGGTCCATGAAAATAGATGACAGGAAAGGAAGTAGAATAAGGCTGTAGTTTGGTGGCTTTGCATTGATCAGAGGCACAGAAAGAGAAATGCTCAGAAACTTACATCGGGAGGCTGGTATGTGAAAAAATAGTGTTAAGTTATAGAAGATACAGGTTCTGTGTTGCATCTTTTCCCACTTGTATCAAACAATCAAACAAAAGTTGGTAATGTGCTCTTTGCAGGTATTGGGAAAGAACTTGCTGAAAGTAATTCAGGTTCTACAAGCACTGGGAGATCTGTTGCTGGGAGTCCTCTCTTGAATGATGATGCTTTACAAAAAGCAGTAGATTTGGAAAAAGAAGCTGCTGATGACTTGAGTTTATCCTTTCATGAAAAGAAGCTTCAGCAAATAATGGTTTTAGAAGGTGAGCACATAGAGAATGACAGAAAAGATGGCGAAGAAGGATGTTTGGAAGGTCAAAATGAGGATAATGCCAGAAAAAATAATGAAGAAATACTGCAGGATAATAGTGAAAGTAATGACTTGCCTATTAACAAACTACATTTTAAAAAAATCAAAAGGAAAACCAACCAAAAGCAATGCCTCAGATGCATAAAAAAGGAAATGTGAAGGTGAAAAGAAAGTATTTTAATGTTGTTGCTGCTTAGCCATTTTACAGTATTTTGAAGTGTTTTAATTTGGGTTATTTTCTGTGTTAATGATCATGTGCTTTAGCTCACAGCCAAAGCTTCTAAAGATACACAAACTCTGTATACCAGGGGGTAAACTGAATCAGTGTGGGCCAAAAGCAGGAGATTCCTTTTTGCCTTTTCCTTTCAGAAGATGAAAACAGCTGTTTAGGTCCCTAAAGTCCAGCTCTCCATCAGTGCATGTGCATGGAAGGCGTGAGGGGGTTGCCAAGATGCCTCCTCAGTGTGTGCATGGCACAGAAAGCTGTATTCACATAGTATGCACTGACACAGTTTGGATGTGTAGTCAAACACATAACACCCCCAAACCTGAATACTTCAGTGTAAGAATAGCTAATTCATTTTTAATATGCAATGCAGAATTTGAAATTCTGCTAATCAGCTGTATGTGTCAAAAGACTTACTAATTTTTATGGAATTCTTAATATGAGAGGAGTTTGTCCTGTTTGATGTTGAGATAAGTTTATGGCTGGTCATTACCTGTGCTGGGTGATTGCATCTTTGAAATTGGTAGAGCATGGTTAAAGGTATCAGCTTCATTTTTCCTTTCCACGTGGTGGCACCAAAGTGCCACCAAAGGTATTTGAATGTGCAGACACCTTCCTGGCTGGTGTGCCTGTGTAGTTTTAGACTGGCAGAAAAGAAGCTGAAATACTCAGTTTCTTCATGTGAATCAAAGTAGTGCAGTGACACACTGCAATATTGGTTAAAATTCAGTAAATTCAGAATTCTTGTCACCTTGAACATACCTTCATCACTGTAAATTTAGGGTAAATTTCTTTGATTATGGGCATTGGTGTTCCTCTTTTCAAATAATTTGGAGTTAATTTGTCATCCAAAAAAAAATCTATTTTTCTAAAGAATTCCTTGAGAAATTTGTAAATTATTTGTGATTTGGTTTTACTCAGGCATTTTTTGGTTTCTGTCTGAGTTGTTTTACAAATTTAGATCTCTGCATTAGTGGCAGTTGAAATCTGATGAAAATGGTTCTTAAGTCTTATTAGTAATGTGTATCATAAACGTATTCACTGTTTAGGCATACATTGAGATTGAGGTGATGTTCTCTTTAAATCCCCACTGTGGAATTTTTCATTTATTCCCTCATGTGTCCCACCCCCCTAAAGAACACTCCACAATGAAAGCAGTATTTGTTACCCAGAGGGTTAACTGGCATACTTCATTAGAAATCTGCCAGATGTCAGAAGAGCTCTTGCTGTGACTGCAATGACTCTTGCTTTTCGTTTCTGCACTAGAGCCATGTAAGGCAGATGGAAAGTTTTCCCTTTGTCTTGCTCTTACCTTCTCTAACATTAGTTCAAGCTTCAGCTGCTACTCCAGTCTTAAATAAAAATAGAAGTGAATATTGCTCTTATTTGTATATAGTTCTTAGAAAGAGGCATACAGAAAGTACATTATACTATATAAAATTTAGTAACAACTTTCATAGATGGATGGTTTTTCTAGAACTACATTTTGTACAGAAAAAACAATACTCAAAAACAATGAAGTTCTTGTTAATCTGTCCTCTCAATCTTTTTTCTCCCTTTAGATCAAGATCAGAAGACTGTCAGTGACTTGAAACTGAAGGACAATGGTAGGAAATCCCCTTCTGTTGACAGTTCAGATGGAATGATGAAAATAACAGAAGAGCAAAAAATAGCTGATACAATGCAGGAGGTGTCAGTGAATGATCAGTCTGAGCATGGGGAGGCAAAAAACACATCCAAGAACTCTGTCAAGGTATTGGTCATACACAGTTTACCGTTGTTTGGATCAATGTCCTAGAAACATAATGGAGAGTTTTGTAAAGTTACTGTTGGAATCTTAAGTGTGTAGAACACTGTGTGTATAGGTGACAATTTATATCTGGCTTAGAGCTGAGGCTCTTATAAATTCTGTATAGCTTTATGAAAGATGTAAGGAATACCTTTTCCACAAATTATTGAAGTCAGATAAAGGTATTGAAATGTGTTTTCCAGCCATAAGAAAGTACCTTTCTCAAAGTGAAAATGTCAAATATCTGTTGTGAGGATAGTTGAATAGCAGTGATCAGTGTGTGTTGGCAGAGGATGGGATCCATGTGTGACCTGAATAATGGATAGGATGTAAAGCACTCTATTCAATATCCTAAAAAGACTTCAGCTACATGTAATTATTAAAGCTAAGTATTCAAAAGATTTAAAAGAGTGTTTATAGAATAAACCAGCCATGTTCTTTTTACTTTTTATTGTTTCTAAACTATTTACTGTATTTTTGCATAATAAAAATGAACATTCCTAGCTGCCATTCCAAAATGATACAGGCATTCTGAAAGGTTGGTTGGTTGGTTGGTTGGTTGGTTTGGGGGCTTTCTTTGTTTGGTTTTTTGTTTGTTTGTTTGTTTTTTTCTCTCCTTACTTTCTTATCCTGTACTATATCCTCTCTTTATTAGGGTCTCTTTCTTGCCTGTTTTTATAACTTCATGTGGCCATGGAATATCTTGACTTGGAAGGGACTCATAAGGGCTGAATCCAGTTCTCAGTGTCCTTGTTATCTTGTAAAAACCTGTTTCATCCTGATCTGTTGCTTAAGAGACTCTATAACTTTACTTTTCCTCTGTGTTTCTTAGAAACTAAGTGAAACAAAGGAGAGAGTTCTACAAAACCCAAAGGCTTCATTATCTGACAGGTAAGAGAGGAGTGACAAGCATCGTTCTGAGCCATTTAAGATGCTTGTGAGTGCCCCGAAAATGCTGCTCCGCTCTCATTTTCTGTCAGCATTGTCTTTGCTGCTGACAACCTCTGACCATCTGTGGAAAACAGTTTAGTGTTTTCCACATGTAGCATGTTGTTACGACCCTTGCTCGGGTTAGGTCAGATCAGACTCCCAGATCTTTTGCCAGTGTGTGTGATGAGTGTGTTACTGGGGTCTTTACAGGCTCTAAGCTGTTTCTTAGATGAAAGTGTAAGTAATTCGTAAATTTACAAGAGGTAAGTTCTTTCTCCTTTTTCTTTCCCCAGTCCCCAGTCAAGTGCATATTAAAAAAAAAAAATCACAGTAACTTTGGGTAGGCACTGAAATAAGAGGAACACTACTCATACCCAGCTCATACTACTGTATGAGCTGCAGTAAAAGGAAAGGTCATTAATTTATTTGTGTCCTGGTATTTTCCTAGGTCTACAACTTTTGTGCATTTAAAGAGAAAGGGGAAAGCTGTTCCATCAACTTCACCTGTTTCATCTCAGTATCTGGGATCTTTGAAGGTGTTGGAGGATAAATGCGTGCAGAAGAAAAGTCCAGAATTCAACAAAGTAGATGATTTAAGGGCAGCTGTTTATCAGGTAGATTTTAAAAATGAATGAACAAACAAACAAAATTTTGCATATAAAGGTCCTGATACAGGGGTCAAGACCTCATATTTTCTTGAAATCAGTATTTTTTGCTATATTTCTTTTATTGCCTTACAGGTATAGAAATCTTTTTATTCTGTTGGCTATGCCTTTTCCTCATATTATGAACAAAAAGCTCAATGAAAGGGACATAATGTTTTCATGTGGTTTATAATTTATTGTTTCAGACTATTTTCAGGCACATATTTTCCATTATTTCTACTTCATCCTTAACTTAAGTAAGTGTCTACTTACAGTTGTTTGGTTTTTTTCCCTGATATGTTCTATTCAAATGGCGTTCAGGAAAAGTGATAACAAATCCTGAACTTTTTCCAGAAGAATAATATATGTAAATTCCTTGTAGAATTTCACAATTATTTTCTGGGTTTAAACAAATTTCTGCTAATCTGTTTGAGAACAACTCTAATTAACAGGCACCGTTTATATTGGTTTGTGGTTTTAATACTTGTTATGGTCCTAAAACAAATTTTAGACCCTCAAATCCATATTTATATTGTCTCCACAGCTTTTGAAGGTAGAATAGTCTTCATTTAGGACACTATTATTTTTGAGCTGTATACCATATATACAGTTAATTCTTAAAAATTTAAGCCTGATTCTGCAGATGGCTCATAACCTTTTACGGCTGCCTGAAGTCTCACTTTTCCCAGTAGGATTTTATTCTCTTTAATTGTATGTATTTTCAAGAGAGACAACAAATGTAAACAATATTCCTATATACCCGGAAATGAGAACCTTTATTACATTCCTCTATTTAATTTTGATTAATGCTGACATTTTTGTTGGTGTTTCTAGGAAGACGCTTTTTAAAAGATCTTTGAGCTTTTTAAGATTTTGTAGCTGTGATTTTAGAACCTTACATTTTTTTGGTCAAAATGTTCCTGTGATGACATCTTAATTTTCCACATGGGATGCTTATTTAACTAGCATGTGGAAAAACTGAGAGTAATTTTGGTGGTCATTATATTGGTGCTGTTCTTTACTTATACCTTAAAAGGACTTTAAAAATATTTTAATGATTCTTACAGAACTGGTTGGAAAGGAAAAAGCTCCTTCTACTGGAATTAAAGAGAAGTGAAAAGGAAAAAGCTGAAATTCTAAGGAGCAATACTGAAAAGGTTTGTTTACATTGTTGTTTTAAAATAAGTTGACCAGCTATGACTCTTTGAAGTGTTCTTGCTGCCTAAGTGCATTCCTCTGCTGCTGTAAGGTATCTGGTTTTCTCCAAATAGCACAAGGTGATGTGAATCAATGAATGGCAAGTCCTTCTTGTTAGGGTTGTGGTAAGCAGTGTCCGTCCAGTGCTTCCCTACACATTTACATAAGGTGTGCTACAAATGTACTTCCTAGGTTAATTTTCGAGTTAATTTACAAAGACCTTGGGATGCTCAACTCTTAAGGTGCTCAGTTTTGTTTTGTGCATGAGAGCGTGCATGCACTCCTTGCCTCAAGAGACTCTTACCCAGACAGGGCTCTGGCTTGAATAGTATCATGCACAATCTTTGATTTGGCTTTTAACTATTTAATATGTTTCACTTCTAAGCACTTGACATGCATTTCATATCCTTCTACACATATTTTGTGGGAGCAGTTAGTCTCATTCAAGTAAATTAAAAATGGGCATAGAAAATAGCTCTATATATGCTTAAAATTTAATTGTAATACTTGCAATGTTGTCAGCAAATCAATATCTGTTTCTTTATTGCTCTATTTAGCAATAAGTGTAAAGCTTATTATTTCACTTAGAATTTTATACTGAAATGGATTTAAATGTAGACTTTTATTTCCAATCTAGAAAGAAGCACTTAAAAGGGAAGAATCAATTGCATGTTACGAAGCCTGGAAAAAAAAGAAAGAGAAAGAAGCAAGGAAGTTAAGCGAAAAAAAAAAGCTTGAGGAACTTGAGGAAAAGAAACCAGCAGAACAGAATAAGGAAAAAACAGAAGCAGCACAAGCGGTGATGTGAAATATGTACCTAAGTGTGTATTTGAATGTGGTTCAAGAGATAGTAAAAATATTTTTGATTAATCCAGAAGGAGATGCAAATGAACTAGAATTTTTAATCTAGACATGCTTAGTTTTTGAAGAAATCTTGTATTAGGTTTTGTTCTGTAAGAAATATGTAATTTATATACTTGCAGACAAACAGGATTCTATATTTGGAGTCTATTAACTTGAGCATAAAATAAACTTCATACAAATACATTAGCAATTAACTATTACCTACTGGAAAAATTAGATTATTTTTAGGTATAGTGATACCCACTTCTGAGCAATTCCACAAGCAAATGCTCTGAAATTAGAATGTGTAGAAATTACAAAAAATAATAATGCAGATTAGACTAGGGGAGTATTGACAGAAAAGTGAGAAGTAAGATTTTTTATGGATCTGTGGTTGTCTTTAGGCATTCAAAAAATGGAAAGAAAGAAAAGTGGAATATTTAAGAGAGCAAAGCAGGAAGGAAAAACAGTCTGAAAGAATGAGGAAGAAGATAGAAGAGGACCTCGTTGCAGAGAAGAGGAGAGTCAGTGTATCAGCAGTTGAAAAATGGTACTTCTCCACTGTGTTTGCTATATCATAGCTTCCAAAATCCTTGCTTAAAAATGTAATAGGTCTTCTGTGAAACTTGATGTGCTTGTAATTGGAAGAAAATGGAATGCTTGGGATCAGACTCTTCATTCCCAATGGAGACAAAGTCTAACAGTGCAAACCAGCTGTGCAGCTCCCTTCAGTTTATTAATTTAGTTGCTTTCCTCCCCAAGAGGATATTGACTAAGCTCAGGCAGAGATAATGCAAATGATAAAATTCATTGAGTAGTAGTATGGTTATTCTTATGCTTCATTACTAAGCCATAGGAAGGAAGGTATATCTTTAAAGTTTCATGGAATACAATGTAGGAATGCAGATGTAGAAAGAAGGAAATGAGATGTATCTGCTGGAGATACTCTATATTAGTTTTTACAAGCCAAGAATTTTCACAGACAGTGCACAGCTTACATTTACCTACAGAAGTTCAGAATGCTTTGGTTTTTATTGTATTAAATAAGGGAGAAAAAAGTACAGAAAAGGTGATGCCATAATAGATAGAGTAGTAGATTGATACCTTGGTGACATATAAAAATGGACATGGAGGATTTTAAATACATATTCTCAATATTTTATTTAAAGTGTTAAATACATATTTTGGCTCAATTTACTTAGTTGGTCACAGATGCAGCTTTTGGTCTGTACACAATGACCTCTTGCTCTGCCCTCTCACTACGCAGGAATGAAAAGAAGGAAGAATATATAAAAAAGAAGAAAGTAGAAAAGTTCCTAGAGAAAAGAAAGCGAGAAATGCAACAGGCAAAGAAGGAAGAAAAAAGTGAAAAGGCTATGGAGGAGTATGAAAGATGGCTGGTATGTGTGTTGGGTTTGTGGGTTTTTTTTTGCCTTTTGTCAAAGCCAAAACATTTGATGTAGTGTGAGCACTTGAGTATTGTAATACTCGTGGGGTGTTGTGCTCTTATGAGAGACACCAGACGGTGGCAACATTACATCACTTGTCTCCCTTCAATGTGAGCAAAATGTTGCTAAAGTACAGTGCACTTGATATTGGGCATACATGGAAAATATATTCTCCCTACCTACATGTCATAGAGTTTTCAGTTTTCATCAGGCTTAATTTTTTGCTATTCCATATCAGGAGCAACAATCTCTGAAGGGCCAATTAGCCAGAGCACAAAACTGCTGCAAAGTCAAACAGCATTGCCAGCTGCAACAGTCAGTGCATGTACATTCAAGGAAGCGTTGAAAATGGAGACTTGGAGAGCTCACAGTTGATAAAAGCACTTGTAATGAGATTCAGGATGATTTCCATTTGCAAGAAAGGGTGGAACTCTGATGCTCCCAATTATATTTTTCTCACAGCAGTGTCCCTGTTGTAAAGCAGGAAATTAATCCAGTGCTCTAGTCCCAACAATAAGGCAGGTTATTTTTCCTTGCTGCAGAAAGCCAAACTAGAAGAGAGATCACTAATATTCTTAGCATGTTGTTTTCTTAAAGGTATGTGACTTGCCAGTTAAAGAAGAACCTGTTTTAATTCCCGACCCTATGACACAGTCTTTATTCATAATGACTGTCAAGGTTTTTTTAGTTCGAAAGTGTTTCTTCTGTTGTCTCTCTTCCATGTAATTTCTGGCATGCCTTGAACATATGGTCTCTGTTGCCATTTTTGAGAATGGGATCTTGCAACCCAGCTGGATTGTGGTCCTTAGAGGAATTTTTCTTTAGTGTCAATAGCTTAAATATTCTTTTCTTTTCTTCTTTTCTTTTCTTTCTTTTCCTTTCTGTTGTTGTTAGGAGGGAGAGGCATATAGAAGAAAACTGAGTCAGCTAGCTGTACAGGTGTGAGATAGGTTTGGAGAGGATTTAGAGAGAATAATCATCCTTTACTTGGCTAACTCAGAAATACACAATTGCACAAAACAGCAAGAGCCTGCACGTTTTCCCTTCTCTCTGCTTCCAAACATTTTTAGTCTTAAGTTTAGATCTTTTAAGATGTTTGACCTAGTCCCCTGTTGAAATACCTCTCATTTCTGTAATCACTGATAAGAAGGTTTTTTTCTGGTCCCCATTGTCAAGAGATTTTCAGCTCAGTTTAGCAAATGATTAATGTCTGATCTTAGGTTATTTCTTGCTTGGTTAATATTCCTGATTGCCAAGGTAGGGAGTACTGTGCTTTGAGCAGTAACTAATGCTCTGCTCACTGAGACTATCCTAATCAGCTTAGTTGTACCAAAGCAAGAATGTTACTTCTCATTGTACATTTGACTTCCTTGCCGTCCTGGACTCTGTATGAAGGTAAAAAAATTACCCCTGTTCTTGGGAGTGAAAGATGCTGCGTAGCACAGACTCTCCCATTCAAATTGTGTGTGAATTCCTGAGGTTATCACTTCAGTGGGATTATTAATGAAAATTTTAGTAGTTGGTGGAATGACCAGATCTAACTAGATATACATGTGCCTACCTGAGAAATAAGTACTGAACTGGTTGGCAGAGGTATCTATAAAATGACCCCATTTCCAGTGTCTGTGTGCAAGTGTTGACTGATGTGTCTCATGTCCAGTCTTCACATTTTTACTTTCAGAATTTCTGCTGTCTTTTTGCAATTTACACACCTTTATTTGAGAAAGCATATTGGGAAATGCCTCTGTTATCATTTTTGGCCAGAATATTGCCTCACTTTGTACAGTTACAGAAAAGATACAGACCATTAGTGAACTGCAGGATAGAAATATTGTAAAGTTGTCATTGCATTACCAAGGAAACTGAGGTGACATCTGCCTGCAGGTAGATAGGCATCGGATCTGAAGGCAGAATTTGGAAGGCTTTTAAAAGTATTCTTTCAACAAAAAAATATTTTTTGAGGGAAATAAAATAGTAGTGATACAGTGGGAAGTACTCTAACATGTTTTCATTAACGTTCACCAGAAAGAAATGTGTACGTTCATCCTCAGCTTTCCTGAAGCAGGTGTTGACCATAATGCATAGATAAAACAGACATAAAAACCTCATTGTAGTTCTTCTAAAATAGAAGAAACATTCTGCTTTTATGTTAATGGAAATTCTGTTACTTCTGCTTTTAGAGGTCATTGTGTGAATGTTTGATAGCATAAGAGCGTAGAGAAGATTACTTTTTAAGCCTGGAAATAAATGCCCTGGGAAAGGCTATTAACACTTGTAAAATACTGGCATGAAAAGGATAATCTTGAGGTGAGATGCTTTAGTATTGCCTGGAAATTCAAGCTTCTGATTATTTTGTTTCTTGCTATCATTTGCTTCTTGCTGCTCACCAAGAACTCTTCAAGCCAATCTATCTTGATAAGTGATCATTTTTTACTTACTGCATAATACCAGTGTCTGACACTTGTCATTGGCATGCACCTGTTGTGAGGAGTGGAATGAGGACAAGAATCACATAGAAAGTTTATAATGACAGATCAGTTTAGTTTCCATTATTTCTGTGATACTAATCTTGATAACTGTTTACTGTGGATAGAAGTGAGTGTCATCTCTAGATAAGTTCATGTTGTCCATTTTCTGTGATAAACATCAACCTACCATGAGCTTCTGAGAAGTAAGGCTGCTCTCAAATAGTTCTTGAAGACCAGCATAGTAATGTTGAAAGCCTTAGAAGAAGTTTGACATTTTACCTTGAATTTGAGCATGTGCAATATCTATTTTTGGCATTCTAAAGCTGTTTAAAAACATCATGAAAGGATATACTGGATAAGTCCCATGGATTTGTTACTTTTCGGGGTTAGAAATAGCTGAAGTGGGTTGTCAGTTTTATGTATTCATTAATTTCATGAGATCTCTCTGAAAATTCTTTCTAAATTGTAATTTTCATGGCCTGTCATTGCAGTAGGTTAGAAATAAGACTGCTATTGTTACTCCTCTTAAATGTTGTCACTCTTTTGTAATAACTAAAATTCAATTTCTGTGTGGCAGTCGTACTGCTAAAGAATGTGCTCTTCCCAGAATTTCATAAATGAAAAATATAGTCATCTTGCTAGGCTATTGAGTAGGAAACTTCCACATAAATCAAGCCATACAGTTGACTTGATCTATGTAAGACAAGGTACAGTTATTGATTTAACCTTTCACTGTTTCTGTTACTCTACATCAATTAGTGCAAATGCCATCTTGTTTATTATTCTATAGAATATTTATATCAGTTATGTCTTGTGAGAATTTGCACTGTAGTTACAAGAAGAACATAAAAACTTTGTGTGTGTTGAGGACAGGGAGGATGCCAGTAGATCTTCACTTTGAATTTAATCTTTTAAAAACAGTTAAATTAACTTAAGACTCTTTCCTTGCCTGGGATTCATTAATGCAAATTGGATGTCAAACCCAAACATTCAAAACTGCAGCACAGTTAAAAAATCCAAAGCAACTTTTGTTCCTTTTTTGGGTGGGTGTATGCTTTATTTTTGGTTGTGGTTTTTCATACTTGTGTCTGTGGTGTAACATCTATTCAGTAGAGAGTGCTTGATAAACATAAAATATGCACATTTCTTTGTAGCATGCAATGTCTCTAATGCTTGCAATACTGCTGCAATAAGTGTGACTTTTAATGAGTTTTCACTTACCTGTCCTGATGGTATACATATCTTTGTACAATATAATTCTATGATTATAGATACAGGAGCATGTATCATATATGTATTCCATTAGAGTGTATTCTTCCCAAGCTCATCTGTACTGCTTCACATATCTTTTTTTGAAAAATATCACTTATAATGCAGACTACTTTTCTCTTAAACAGTTCCCTTGAAGAGTTCTAGAATATCTTGAATTTGTTCTAGACCCAAAGCCACTAATTGTGTTCATCTGATGAAATCTCTGTGGAAGGAGAAAGAAGGCAAAAGTGAGGGATGAGAAGAGTCAGTATGTCACAGTGCTGCAGGGCTAATTTGTTTCAATTACTCCATTTGATCAGAAAGATACAGTTTCTACAGAGAGATATTTTTTATTAGACTGTGATGAACTTTTGTATTGCTTATTTTAGGAAAGGGCATTCCTTTTCCATGCAAACCTTGCCTTGCTTTTAATCAGCCTTATTAGTAATGACGTGAAATTATTGTGTGTTTGTTTAGCCAGACCAGATGTTCCTAACTGAATTGGATCTTCAGGTTTATGTTGACAAAGAGCTAAAGGGCACAGATTAAAATCATATTGATAGGGTTGATATTTCAGTGTGTTGCTTTGCTTTCTACAATTTTTGGACACGTATATGTGTAAAACAGGAGAAAACTTCACTCAAGCTCTCTTTCTTACAGTAATGCTTCCACATCCCTTTTTCAGTCTACTCCCTCAGCCACAGTTACCTCACTATTGCCCTGCTCACATATGAGTAACAGGCAAACACTGCCAGCATCTTGGGAGTTTGTGGATATATGGTGTCCACCAGAGGAATAGGATCATGGGTTATATGACAGTACCAGTTACCTTACAGCTGTTCTCAAGGAGCAGTACTTCCACCGCAGTGCAGATCATACATGTAAAAATACTAAACTATGGATGCTTCACAGTGCTGGCTGATGGGCTGCAGATGATGAAGGAACCAGGGCTGGATGTGGCACAGCTGATGATGGTTTTAAGTGGGCATATCCACATTGCATCTTTACTGCCAGGGTTGTGTTTGCCTGTTGTTGGTCTTAGGAATGAATGTACTGTTCATGTGTGAGAAAGGCAGCTGCTCAAGGACCTCTTATCCACCCATCACAGGGGGCACTGTAAATTGTGCTGTGGTCTGTATGGCCAACCTTGGTTCCACCAAGAAAAAAACTACTTTTAACTCAGTAAGAAATGTGCACCCATATGCACCACAAGCCTGCAAGGAAAACTTGCACCCACAGAGAGCTTCGCCAGTGCACTAAACTGCTAATGCAGGTGCACCTTTAAATGCTGGTCCTCTTGAGGGTGAAATGGCAGTCATCTTTGCAAAGAAGAATGCTTACGTAGAATAGAACTGATTAGAAATTCAAAAATAATTATAAATAATTGCAACTTAGTTTTTGAATGGCAGGTCTCTTGAAAGTCATTAGTTAATGAGACTCAAAAAGAGTGTTGCAAGTATCTTGCAACCCTCATCATCCTAATTGCACCATTGCTGTTTGAAACAATAGAAAATAGAATTAGAACCTTGCATTGCTTATAACATAAGTTAGATAGATCTTTGTTTAAAATTAAATTGTTTAATTACCAATTTGTTCTAGTACATGGCAAGTGTGATTTAATAAGTGCAGAAAGTTACAATGATGCATCAATGTTCTCATTATATGAGAAAAACATATTTTGCATTGTGATTTAGGTATCCTCTTAAAGACAAGAAGCAATTAATATGAGACTAATTACATACAAGACCAATAGGCCAGTAAGGCCTAATCCAGTAGGCCTTCTGTTGGGCTTTTTGTTTAGACAGTGCACAAACCCAGCCCATCCTTGAGACAGTCACCCTAATTGTAAGTGACACGCAATGTGCAGCCTTTTGTGTTGCATTGTGCAGTGTCTGTGACTGAACCTCTAAAAGGGATGTGCCAAGCTCCAAAAGGCAAATTTCCATTGCATGTTTTCTTTTCATTTTACACAAGAATAGGATAGTAATAATGTCACTTTTCTGTTAGTAGAATTGCTGTTGAGGGGCAGGGCGGTGGTTTTGGTTTGGGCTTTTTTTCACACATCTTTTTATTCTCAGGAAAACAAAATGAGGAGAGAACAGCTTGAGAAGTACCAGAAGAAGATGCAGGCTGTCCATTGGAATGAAATGAGTCCTCCCTGGAGACCACCTGGCAAAGTCACGTATTCTAGTAATTACTAAGCAGTTTATTGCCTTCCCGAAGAACAGATAGTTTACAAAGTTCTCTCAATAGCTAGTAGCTCTTCTGTTATCAGCTGATTTTCACTGAAGCCATTATAGGTGTTAAATTACTTCTTTTTAGTTTATTTGATATCTGCAGTTTAAATAAACCTGTTACTCCTTTGCATTGCTTTAGAAAATGTAATAATTTTTCTAATTCCACATTTAAATTAGTTTTGCTAAATTCCATGTTATGTCATACCTTTTTGGTGAAAATTTATATCTAGGATATTTAAAGCTGGACTCTGACATTTTTTTTTTCATCCAATAAGTGGCAGAATGGTTGTTTTTAAGTTATTAGACCACACTCTTAAGGAGTTAATATTTGAAGAAATTATGTGAAGAGGCTGTGGGGTAAGGATGATGGTAAGGAGATGTTGGCTCTCTTGTGGAGGTAGATGACAAAAGGCTAAGGAGTATGGAAGCAGAATGTCATTTTCATACATTAATGTACAAGATACAGAGAAAATGTGTATTGCAGATAGGTGAATACAGGGTTTTCAAAAGCTCCAGGTCTGGCACTGGCTGTTCCCTCATGGCAGGGCAGGCATTTTTTCCAGCAGTAGTGGAGAAAAGAGAATCTACTGCCAGCAGAAATTTTCAAGAAGCTGAGAAGATGCCCAGTCAGAGCAGCTTCAGTGGCCCACGTAAGAGGCAGAGTAAAATTACAGAGAGCAGCAGGAGAGATGAAGAACTGCAGCCCTGGCAGAATGCAAAAGAATTGCCAATTCAAAAGTGGCACACCTGGATTTTATGAGAAAATACTAAATTACTTCAGGCCTTCAGATTGGGGTGGTGGTGTGCATCATTGGTTCTCTGGGCTTTTAGCACTTGGAGCCTTGAATTTGAGTTTAGTCTGTTAAGAAACTCCAACTATAGTATCATGGGAGGATGAAATTTGTAGCAGGCACCAGTTTATTGTACAACAGACCTGAAGAGTTTGAGACAAGGCAGCCTGTGAGACAGGGATCATCTGGATCTTTATTTTTGCAATGTCCTGCCAGAGGAAGCAAGGAAGGTCCCTATGCTGACTTGAGGGGTGGAAAAGTGTGGTAGGATTAGTGGCAGAGATCGAAGAGAGTTTGTCAGGTTTCTGTTCCTGAACTGAAAGCTGCATCCTCACTGACTTTAAGCCTTTCTATAACTGGATAGAAGGTTTTGACAGAAGACAGAAGTGAGAAGATGTGGGTGCCATCTTTCAGAGGAATGAGGAGAAGCTCACAAATTCACAACTTCTCAATTAGGAAAAGATCCTGAAGTCCCTAGACAAGGGAAAACAGTTGACATGTTTAACTTTTATAATAAAATTTGGGGAGCTTCATTCAATGGTATATTGTAAAAATTTGCACATGTTACAGCATAACACAAATGTCATAAAAGAATTAGAGCTGAGAAATATAAACAAATGTACATTAATGTATAAGAATACACAAATATATGTATAGATCCTATCTATATGTTTATTGATGACAGAGGGAAAATATTTTGTATTAATAAAGTATATTTTAGTAATAGCCTCAATGTTTTCATTGGATTTTAGGATACAAATCTTTATTTAAAGCTTTAGTACATAGAAATTAACTAGGCAGTGTCTAAGCCCAAGCTATCATTGTTAACATAACAAGTAAATAGGGAACTGTATCCCAGTGAAGGCGAGCTTCTACAGCATTCCAGCTGTCTCCTCCAGCTCTCTGACACTTGCTGATACACCAATGCAAACATTCATTTAAGGAACATAGTTTCTAAACAATAACCTAGAAGATTTTAGTATCTCTAATTTTTTTTTTAAAGTATTTGATTTAGGCATGAAGTTGCTCCATTGGTGTGGTAAGGGCACAGGCTGATGATAAATGATTTTCTGTTTCAAGTCTCTCATTCTGGGTAAGAAAAATTATATGCTGTTTTCCATTGTGTCTTTTTTTCTTTTATATTCACAAAATATGAGATCATCTTACCTGGTCTGTATATCATGGACTGCTGTGTTTCACTTGGTTAATTGTGTTTAACTGAGTTACTTGACTCAGACTAACAGGGATAACCTTTTCTGAGCTGTGAACACCGATGGCAGCCTTGGCTGCACATCAAAAGCTGGACTTGCTCCAGTTTGTCTGCATCTTTCTTGCACTGGGGAGCCCAAAACTGAGCATGATGCTCCAGATGCTGTCTCGCTCCCAGCTGCAGTGTCACACATGCCAAACAGAGGGGAACAATCCCTTCCACCAACCTACTGAGCACACTCTTACTAATACAGCCCTCAATGCCATTGGCATTCCCTGCTGTGAGAGCCCATGGCTGGCTTATGCTCTGCTGCTTCTCCTCTGGCACCCCTGGGTACTTTCCTGCTTTTTGACCACTGGGGCTCAGGCTGTACTGTTGGAATGAGGTAACTTCACCCCAGATGCAGGACTTTGTCTTTGCTGACCTTAAAGGTTCCCACCACCCTTTTCTTCCACTTCCTGGGAAACACCCTGCTTGATTGCATGGATTTAGTTGTGTCCAAGTAACTGAAGTGCTCCCTGTTGTGTCTTTCTCTTCAGTGCTTCAGTGTCTGAAGCTAGACCTCATCCATAAAAAAAAAAAAAAGGCTAAAAAGGACATTAAGCACCTCAGCTCTTTCCATGTCCTGTGTCATTAAGTCACCTGGCCCTTGAGGAGCAGAATGCCATTCTTCTTTCTGCTCATGTACTTCCAGAAGCACCTTTGAGTCCCATATGAGCTTCAGCTCTTTCTGAGCTTTGGCTTTAGTAAGTGCTTCCATATTTTAGTCCATGTAGAGTAATGTCTCTGTTTTGCTCCATGGTGCAAGTACTCTCCACCATCTCTGTGCTTGCGTACCCTCTGAACTCCAGCAGGAGTGAGCTTTAACTCTTTCTGAGCTTTGGCTTTAGTAAATGTTTTAGTCCATGTAGAGTAATGTCTCTGTTTTGCTCCACGGTGAAAGTACTCTCCATCATCTCTGTGCTTGTGTACCCTCTGAACTCCAGCAGGAGAGCCTGTTCCTGCACACTGGCTGCCTGCCCCACTTGCCTGACTACACACGTGTCAGAGTGGACTTTTCTTTGATGGGGATGTCAGTGAAGCTCAACTAGCATTCCTGGGTCCCTTTGCTTCCCAGGGCAGCCTCCTGTGAGATCCTGCCAAACAGATCCCTAAATAAGCCGTCATCTTTCCTCCTCAAACCAAGGTTGTGGTTCTATTTCCTTTACTGCTTCTTACATGATTAAAAGTTTCACATTCTCAGGCTTAGGGCAGTCAGGAGATCATCAGCTTTCATAACCCAGACTAGTTCATTCCTGTAACCATCCATTAGCTAAGGTCAAGTCCCAATCACCTCTTAGAGCATCAGCACTTCCACCTTCAGGTTTCTGCTGACCTGTTGGCTTTTAAAGAACAATTTCTGAGATTTTAATAACATTTATTAGTTCAATTTTCCCCTAATGGGTAATAAAGTAATTGCAAAATTCTTGCCTGATTATTTCAGCCTGGGGCATGGGGAAGGCTGCTCTTATTAGCAGACTGCATTCAGGCAGTTGAACTGTTTTCAACATACCACGTTATTTTAGCACCTACACTCAGAGGAAAAGTTCTATGAAAAGTCTTTAGTACTGCAAGGTATGTTTCTATTTTACTACTATTTCCTAAATTTATAAATTCTCTTTCTCTATGATGCTTTTATTTCTGGTTAGCTTCAGACTAGAACAATTTAAAGTTTTTTCATATAATTTTTCATTTAAGGAAGCAACAAGAACTCTCATTATATGTGAATAATTTTTCATTAATAGGAATACAAAATTAATATACATTCATGTTCATTAATTATAAAGTGGCTTGGCTGGTCCTTGATGACAGCAAGTGATAGAAGGCTAACATCAGTAAATATCAGCATTTAACTGTTGTACTGCTCAGGTGGAGCATCGTATTAACAATACCCTGGTTAACTTTTATTTTCCTTTGCACCTTTTAACATGCTGTGATACATTGAGCACCCATTCCCATATGCTGATTTCTAACCAAACCATGAAGGAAAAACAACAGGAAAATAAATTTAGACAAAGAGGAAATATTTTAGTTGTCCTCTATCTATTTCACTTTCTTGAAGAAGCATCTGGAGAATCATTGCAAATAAATGATGCTTTGGGAAAAAACTTTATTAGCTACCCTGAATTCCTCTATGCTTCTTAGCCCTTCTAATACTGAAGTATAATGGGGATGTGCAGAGGTGATTTAGTACTGAGCCTAACTGCTGGACTATGTTCTTTCTTGAAATGGGAGCAAAAAGATTTTTTGCAAGAGATCAGCAAAATGAATAGCAGTGAGAAAATAAAAGCAAACAGTACTGTCATTATTCAGTTTATCATTTGTAGAAGCATTAGTGGTTATGAACATGATGCTGGATACTGCACAAGCAAAATGTAAAGATGACTTGCCACAGAAGGCTCCCCATCCCAGAAAACATGCAAAGAGATGTAGTCAAAAGCACAAGGAGAATGAGGAAAGCAGCGTCCCTTGCTGCACAACAGCTGTTGTACAATGGTAACAGCTCCTGGCAGTTTGGTTTCACAGTCCACCAGCTACTATCCTTGCTTGCTATCTTGCCTTCAGCAGGAAAGCCAATGTGCTGATTTTCCCCTTGACTCTTCTGTTGACCATGTGGTTAAGCATCCTCTCTCTGGCTACCTTTCATTCCTGCTTAAGAGACCAAATAATTCTGTCCATTCTTGCTGTTGCACAGCATTTCCAAGAGAGATCAATCTGCTCAAAGGATTAATCTGCCATCAGTATTGCTGTACAATTTAAAGAATTATTATAGCATTAAACCCTAACATCAGCTTGATTCTTATTTTCCCTTAAACAGATGGTAGTGCATCGAGCTGTTAAATTTCACCCCAACAAAACTGACATTCTGTTTAAAATTTCTATTCCTCCTGAATCAATAAAATGTAGGATTGCTGCACTGGAGGAAAATTCTTTGCAAATGGCTATGCATTTGTAACCTATCCAAAGCAAGGGCTCTTGATAATGACCCCCAATTTTCAAGGGTTTGGATCATGAAGTATCAATAGAAAGAGAGGTTATGTGCACATAAATCAGGACAATTACAGGAGGAAACAACCAGGATTAATTAACAGCAAGTGCACATTAAGTGTTTCACAAAGACTTTGCTGATTTCCAACTTAAATAGCCTTTACGCTCTCCTCTTTTTGATTCACTTGCACAGTTTC